CGAAAAAATCTTATCTATCTTATCTTATGTATATATTTTTTTGTAAACTCGTTATAACGCATCTTAAGGGGCCTCCTCGCCTCAATGTTGAACAAATATATTTATCTAAGAATGAATAAACGGCTGATTTTCGATCCAATAAACGTCGCAGAGTCGCTCGAGGACGCGTCGACGACCGATGACGTCGCTGAAAAATCAATACTCGCTTTCGTATTATGCAACATCCGATCGTCGTTTTCCGTTTCCGGTTCCTCCACTTGGCGTCGGATCTCGGCGAAGAGGATTATTCGCGTAGAATATGTACGAGCACGGTGACCGAACGACCGGTCCTCCCTGCTTCACGTTCGCTCTCTATAAGGGAATTACGCAGCAACGGAAGAAAGGATACAGTCTCGGCCGCATTCTGCGGAACCTATTGGAGCATCCGCGATTATACTTAACTGAACCATAATTTAACCACCGCCGTAAAGTTCCGAGGGAGGGACGNGGGGGGGGAGGGGGGGAAACGAGATATCCTCGTCCACCGGAGCCGCGCCGGCCAGACATGCGGCTTTGTTTCGCGTACAGTGTACACCGCGTGCAGCCGCGGATCCTCGCATTCCTCAAGATATAAAAGAACGATCGCGAGAAGTGTATTCACCATCGGTGCTTTACCATTTTCCCGCGGATTTGAGAGCCAGTCTTTCGCCGGAGAAACGAAACAGAGAAATGAAACGAACGAGACCTCTAACTGTAACACCGACGGTTCTTAAAACGCTCAGACGCCGACTGCCATTTTGCGCGTTCCTATTTTTCGCCGCGGTTAGAGATTACAGACATGTGCAGATTGTTAGACTTGGTGGTAAAAAATTAAAAATGACCCTTTCTATTCCAATATATCTTGAATTACTCTTTCTTTATATTTTAGTCTTTTGTACGCGTCCCCTTAATCTTATAGAAATTATTAACGTCAAGAGTGCGGTTTCTTCTTTCTTTTCCTTTCTTCTTTTTTAACTTTGAGTTGAAAAGGGGAACATTTTCGGATCATCCCCGCGCTGCACGAGCGTGTCTCATCCGTGTTGCCCTTGCATTCCGCGATCCACCTTTCGGTCGTCGTAACTGAAGCGTAAGAGGGAATTTCCGCGTGAGAACCGGCGATTGCGATCGTCCTCGGCGCTCGCTGCTCCTCGGAACGGCACCGACCGGCCGACTCTATTCCGCGTTTAAATTGGCTCGGCTCGTTAAGCGTAATTAAGAGTCGGCAGGAGATGCTCTCGCGGTGAATATAAAATTTCACATTGCCACCCTTGGGTGCGCTTGCCCGCGAGACAGAGGGAGAGAGAGAGAGAGATGCATTTCCACGTGCACGCAGCGTTGCGTGCCACGCCCGATTAACCCTCTCGGATAGGCGGATTAATTTTTTCTTTGCTCATTTTACTCCCCTTCCTCAACAATCCACATATGTGCGTGACTGTGTAATTCGCGCGACTCAATCATCATAAAATGACGAAATATTCCTCTCTCTCTCTCTCTCTCTCCCTGTCCATCACATAGATTGCTTATTTTTGCTTGACTTAGTAACCGCTTCTTATGTTTCATTCCGCCTAAGCTTAAGGGATTTAAAATCCCAGAGTATTAATAAACTATCTATCTATCCATTTATCTATCTCTTTTCCACCTCGCAGGACGCCACCCCTTCGAAGCGAGGGAAATGCTTCTTATCGGTACTGATCGCAAAGCGCCTCATTTGGGAACAGAGTTACGCTTAATACTTTCTTCCGACGCAGTGGGAAAAATCGTGGTAATTAATAACGAACGATAAATGATCTCTCCGGGAGACCGATAATTAAATCTCCCTCGACATTCGTTGGAGAAAGAAAAGAAAAAAGGGTGAAATATACACAGAATGACACTTCGAGCGAAATCGATTTCCTTCGTAAAAGTCGCGACTTGCAAATCGCGCAGCGAGGACGCGCGAGAGAATCGCGCGCGCGCGCGCGCCGACTGTTACGATAGAATAAATAAATGGCGCTCACACTCCGAGCGTGAAGTGGAAAACCAAGCGTGACATCGGCCGCGCGGGCGCGTGCCTCCGCTGCGATTTTTACCGAAGATCGCCACAACAACGTGACACTGAAATAACGCGTCCATTCAGGAAAGCGCATCCATTATTCATAACATGCGACCGCGTCCGATGCGCTCGAGTCCCGCGGGGTTCCGCTCGAGCGACGCGTTTGCAGATTATCGCCCGCCAAATGTAAGACGGCGGCTCGTGATTCAGAGTGCACGGTAATTTCGTTTCTCGGCTGCGCACGAGACGCGTACGTGCGCGAGAAAGGGAGAGAAAAGAGAGAAAAGAGGAAAAAAGAGTGAGAGAGATGAAAACGACGCGTCCCGGTCGCACGCAGGTGCATCTGATCGTCCGCTCTGTACCGTTCGTTGAAAACGGTGCGACGCTCGGTCGGACGAGCCGAAATCTCTCTTTCCCGGATTCCCACGGTGATATATACTTCACCAGCCTGGAAAAATGATTGCTTTAAATTTACACTAAGCGTTGCGAAAAATATTACCTCAGCCAGGAATCGAACCTGGACTTTCTTATTAACCGGACGGGAGCAATTCGGCTACCGAGGCTTCGACTACGCTTTTAATCGAAACTGTTCTATATAAATTTATAGATAATAGAAAACTCTTGGATTTCTTTCCACGATAAAATTCCTCGCGACCAGCTTGAATTCATTATCGCCGACGGATCCTGTTGATTCGCGGCGCGATTGCTTGGCCGATTTTTCAAGGGAAGCTCCTTAGCCCGGGGAAAGTCTCAGGGGCGCATTTCCTCCTTCTCATTCTCTCTCTCTCTCTCTCTATCTCTCTCGCGCACTCTTCCGTTTTCCGCGAGAATAAAGCAGCGGCTAAAAGCGCGAGGTAGTCCTCCGAAGGAGGGTGAACGAGCGAGCGAGACGACAGTTTAGAAAAATGCGCGGAGTTAAGAACGCTCTCCGCGCGCGTTCCTTTTAGGAAATGGCGGAGGCGAGGTCGAAGACTCCCCGAGGGATCCCCGCATCCTTCGGACGGATATATGTCCTCGGGAGCGACGCTAAAGAGAGCCGCCGGTCTCCCGATACGGCGATCTTCGTCGTTGATCCGCGATGCTGCCGGCCGGAGAACGAATCGAGACGACGGCGACGCGCTCCTCGTCGTCCTCGTGCGATAACGTCGGTCGGACGCGCGTTATTTGCTCGAGCCTTTACCGTTCGTCAGCGAGATTCGCTGGCTTTCCTCCGAATAAGATTGCACGCCTAGAAACGCGCACGAGTTGCGTCTAACGGTGCATTACGCGCGTTTGCAACGGATGTCGTGTCACCTTGCGGTGCTCAAAGCGCGCAGGATCCACCGCGCGCGATTCCACTTCCACGTGTTCGCAGCGCCGCCCCGTGGGTACCGCCGGGGTCGCCCGGCACATTGTGTTTTTCGCGGTCCGCGTTCTGCGCGGATTTCCGCGTCCGAGGGGAGCGGCGACGCCGTCGGGGAAGATCGCGTCACTGTTTTACGATTCAACGGCGGGCGGTCGCCGCTGTTTTTCACAGCTCAGCGAGATATATCGCGAGCGGTGTCAATATAAATCGGGTTACCTTTATTCCCGGATACTCGGGTCCCACCCATCCATCACTTGACTTCACGGATATTACTCGGGTATTACCCGAATAATATTCCCATAATAAAATTCCCAACAACGGTGTAACTAGAGTGAATCTTCTTGGTTCAAATGCAGATATTATGGAAACTATTGTGTTATCTATTATTTCAATAATTAAAGTAACAGTTTCAATGATATCGCTATTGAGTCACGAAGATTTGCTCCAATTGTGCGTGCGGATTGCTGAAAATTCGACTGATTCACAACATCACTTTTTCCTGTACATATATCCGGCAAATGGCAATTAATATTCTTAAGAAATCTTATTTTGCTGTCCGTAAAGTAACTTACAAAATCAATCAACAATTGATCAGTTTAGAATTTGTCGGTTATGCAATCGTATATTAAATTACGATTTTTAGTATTCGGGTAACCGGAGTATTCAGGAATTAGCCGGGTATCCAGGTATTTCTCGCAATCCTGGGAAATATTCGACACACTCGATTATCTCGGGTATTACTCGAATACCTGAACAGTCAGATATATATAGCAGCACTAATACATATTCCAAAGGCAGGAGGAAACGTAACAGTCGACGGAACCAAGTCAGCCGCGGAGAAAAATTCCTCGGCTCCAGCTTGGCCGGGGAATCCGCGGAAGGAAACACAATAAATCTGGCGATCTTATGTAACGGAAAAAGATAAAATGGTTAATTCGTCCGACACCGGCGATGCCACGTTTCGCCCGTTCGCCGGGCTCGTGGCGCGCGCAAAAGTGCACAAGCATTGTTTGCAGATCGTGGGAAACCGGGAAGCGATTACATGGAGAAAGATAGAAAGAGAGAGAGAGAAGTGGGGGGAAGAGGGCGAATAAACTGCGTACTCGCTAGGCACCCACCCAGCGCAACGTGTGCTCGGAACGTGGAAAAATAACCCGCGGAAGTAGCTTCTGGAAGGTCACGAGAACGTGCAAATAAAGCGCATCCACCATAGAGAGCGCCGCGTTGCGCGCGAAGCGCCTTCGACCTTGACGTCCGACGTATGTGGGTTACGTGAATGATACGATAGGAGAGAAAAATACAAGTCGGGATTAAATTTGGCGAGAGCGAATGGTAGCTAAAAATTAAAGAAAAAAATATTGTTGCATTCGGAACGATCGATGCTTCGCTCTCGTTCGCTTGAAAGTCGCGTCTCACGTCGGCTTAACCGCCACGCTGAATAATTACTCGAAGCTTCGCGAGCTCCGGAAGCTCGTCGCGTTTCTCTCCCCTTGAGGCTTCCCCGGAAATTCTAGCTACGTCACTGGCTGATTCGCGAAACTGGGTCACCCAGGGAGGAAGAGAGAGAGAGAGAGAGAGTACAATTCATCCTCGACCTTCTTGCAGAGACCGGCTTCACCCTCGCCCGCAACGATGAACGTGAGGATCGGCGATGTGTGCAAACGGGATCGAGACTGCGAGGTCGGCATCGCTAATAGCCACTGCCACTTGGGTTATTGCCGGTGTCAGTCCTTCTTCGCCGGCTATAATGGGACGCGTTGTCTAGAGTGTAAGTTCGATGGAGCATCCTCTCGCCTCCTTCAAAACCCCCGCTATTCTTGTCGCCTAAATAGGTACTCTTGAAACGTGCGCTTTGTAGCGTTCCGAGAGATCTCCGAAGTCTCGAAGAGACCTGCCGGAGGTGGGTTTCGCGTATCGACTAAACGAGCCGCAATTTGCTACATTTAACCCTCGATTACCGGTGCCCGTTGTGTCCCCAATTCTGGCTTTTGAGTTTCCTTCTTGGACGATATCAAGAATTCGTAAAAACTGATATTTCGCGACTCTCATTCTTTCTTAAAGATTTTCCAAAGAGCAAAGAGAGCTCGAGTTAAAAGGACGATGCGTACAATGGGCTGATTTCTGCATAAACAATATAACGAAATTATATGTGTAATCTTACGTTTCTTAAATCTGTGAATGGTGAGATTTTTATCCGTCTAAAATCGTGAGAAAGTGGTCAAATCACTTGTAATAGTAATGCGGTTAGCGATGATTTTGTTTTATAATTATTTAATTACTTATATATATATATATATTACAATTTAGTCTTATAACTTTTTCACTGAAAACGAAGAAAACAAAATAAAACATTCCGAAGAGGTTAAATCCAACATGGTAAAATCAATATTATATGAAGTTCAGAGAATGGTAAATTTTAGTAACTAAATCATGTCGAATATTTTATTAGGAAGAGATCGCTTATATTCAGGGACGAAAGGGTTAAAGTTGATTAATACCGCGATGATAGACCGAGGATGAAATATTTAGGAAATATCTTCCTGACGTTTATCGTCACTCGGCGACGCCTTGTTCTCGCCATTTGAGGCTACGACAAGTTCGCGTCAGCCGGCGAGATAATCGCCTGCTGAAAATCTCTTGACATTTCAGCGACTCTACTGGGCCACGATTGTCTCGTGAGGGAACAATGCTCCCTGAAAGTGGCGAACAGTAGCTGCCTCGACGGCGTGTGCAGGTGCGAGGAGGGACACTTGCAATTCCGCCGGCACACTTGTCTCGGACGTAAGTCGGCATTAATCATCGACGCTGTTTTAGCTCAATAATTAATAGCCGCTCGATCGATCGCTATTAATCAAGGGAATCCATCTGCGCGCGACCAACGTGATGTGTTCGCGCGAGCTTAATTCCGACGATCGGTACGATGGGACTGATTAATAAATTAACGCTACCTGATCGAGCTTATATTCGGAATTATTGTCACGATAACTTCTGCGCGAGTGAACATCGCGAAAGAAGTTCGCGAGTGAACCTCGTTCCGACAATCGACGGTGAAGCGATTAAATTAACGCTACCGGATCGGTCGTTACTGGTTTAATAACTTTCCCGTAGACGGACAACAAAGGAGCCGAAGAAATTGAAGTAACGACTCGCGCTTGATAACGACGTCGTATTTAATCGGCAGTATTAACGCGACACGACAGATCGATATGCGCCGTAATAAGTTGCCGTTCTCGCGTTCCTCGGCCGGTGGAAGCTGTCTCTGCGTGGCATTAAGACCGTCATTAACGACGCGGAACAACGCACGTCGGTGAAAGGATCGACGATGAATAACCACGGCGAAGCGTGGCCGAAGAGTATCCCGCGGAGAAAATTCTTATTTATGTGATTTCCTTGGCTCACCGAACGTCGAGCAACGCGTACCGCTGGGAAAGGGCGTCTTGAAAACGCATCCCTCTTGCTCTCTGCCGCTTGATTTATCGCGACTCGTTTGCGATCGCTCGCGGGCCGCTCATTGCGGCGTTTTCGACGGGAGAACTGTCAGACTCGGCACACATTAACGATTTCTCATTATTCCCGTTGACATTCTGCACGCCGGCTGTTCCGCGTGAAATTGTCTTGAAAAAATCGCCCTTACACTGAGAGGAGGAAATTTCTATAATATAAAAAAATATTTCGCGAGGAAAATATCCCCACCGAATAAATGTATTCTACTTCGTAGATATTGTTTCTCTTAATGTACTCGCAGAGGAGAGAAGCACGCGTGTGTTCACTTGTAAAGAAATTTTTTTAATTTCAACTTTGTGAAAATTCGTGTCTCGTGCAGAGATGAGAAAACTTCGGGCGCGTTGACGTGTGCGAGATGTTGTGCCGCCTGGCGCTCGGCGAGACGGGAGAAAAGCCGGGAAATTTCGTTCGCGACGGCTCAGGGTGCGCAGGGGGACGACGCGCGTTCGAGATTGACTGGCGACGGGCCGCGAGTTCGCAGGCCGAGAAACGAATCTAATTTTGCAGCGGCGAAACTCGGCCAGGTGTGTTACGAGCACGCTCACTGCCGCCTCTGGGATCCCGAGTCGCACTGTGATTTCCTCATTCCGGATTTATTCGGTCGCTGCCAATGCACCGCGCCGATGCGCCGCGAGGGTGACGTGTGCCGGCCCGACAGTCTGGTGAGGCCCGCCCCACTCCCGGAGAATCTGCCGTCGTTTCAAGTGCCGATCGAGGATGTCACCGAGTACAACAAGGAGACCGTAGCCGGAGGACAGCAGCCCGAAGGTGAACAAGACACGGGTACGTGTATAACGTCGAAATTGAATCACTCGGTTACTTACGGTAACTCCGTTAGCCCGACGACTAAAGTTCCTCCCTTCCTTCGCGATCGCGTCCAAAGTATTCGCGAAAGTTCACTTCCCTCACCGTTGCCATTCGTTGCCGACGAAGGTGATGACAAAGGACTCACATCACGTCATTTTAATTTAAGTTATATTTATAATCCACACATACCATACATACACAAAATTAACTAGAATTGTGACGGTTTAGATCCAGGATACGATTTTTATGCCTTACGTCTGCGTGGAGNAGAGAGAGAGAGAGAGAGAGAGAGAGAGAGAGAGAGAGAGAGGAAAGCGCTACTGAAGCGTCACAGAATTAGAGACGCTCCCCGCTCAGGGTTCACGCTCTATCGAGTACGCGAACTTGCGCGGGTAAACGAGCAAACACGAGGTACCTGACTTCTCCATAAGCCACTTAGCATTCCCCCGGTGTAACCCTTCGGTCGCGTACGTTATATGGGAATCGCGTCGGGCATCATCGCTTCTCCCTGTGTTCGCGCGCCTTTCATCCGGTAATCAGCTTTTCCATGTGCGCGAGACGCAACGGAAGTCTTGAGACGAGGAGCGGTCTCGTATTCCGCGTAGCCCGAAAGCGCTCGAGCGGATTAACAAGATGAGGCGATTCGCATTCTTAATTAGCACGGTCATTAGCGAAACAACGAGTGGCATTTCCCTGCGAACGTACGTTCGTGCTGTGCTCACGATTCCTCTGTGCGCACGTGTGTGTTGGTGTGTGTCCCTGCAACTCTATTATTACCTGATTTCTTTTCTCCCGTCGCTTTGAAAGACTCGCCAACGCGATAACCAGCTCGAATTCATTAAGTCATCTGATAAACGATAGTGTTCGGTGATGATTAAAATCTCGTTACGTATTACCGTAAATCATAAGAAATATCTTCCAAACGGCCTTCCTGGACAGGTGTTCAATTGTCTTGGCTGAAAAATGCAACGATGCTCTTGTCGACGGAAGCACCTAGCCAACTGATACCGGTAAACCTGGTGACCAGGCCGTCGTTGAAACCCGAATCCCACGACCGTCCCGGACCTAACGAGCTGCCCGACGACGACGATGCCGTCGTCATCGAAGCGGAGGTCACCGAGCCCGCCCAAATCACATCCACTTTGACGTCCGGTAGGTCGTCGCGTTCGTTCTTACAATGGGAAAATGTTTTCAATGTGTGTGTACCCGGAATACATATATAGTTTTAAAGGCTCGGAAAAAATCAGTTCTTTTCAATTTTTACACGGTTCTTCTCGGCTTCTTTCCGCGAAAGACCGGAAAAAGACGTTTTCCAACGATTAAAAAAACCGGGGTTTTTTTTAACTATACGAGTAGATACACGACGATAATAGAATAAGATAAATAGAAGGAGCAAAGAAAACTGGGAACTTAAAGTGGAAAATAGAACGGAGAGAAAAAAGGGAAAGTGAAGATAGGTTGGCGAATAGGAATCCCGATGGAAGTCGAGAGCTTGAGTTTTCACACTCGGAAATCACCCGCCGTTCATTCGTCTCCTTTGATTTCAGCGCCGATCAAGACTGACCGGCACGAGAGCACGATAATGACGGCGATCAGTCTCGGTCTGGGCTGCATCGCCGACCTGGAGTGCCGAATGGCGGACCCGCTGTCGCGCTGCATCGGCGGCGTCTGCGATTGCAGCTTCCCGACGAACGGCAGTTGCGGCGCGCGTAGGACCGGCTGCTCGCCCGGCACCTTCCAGTGCCGATCGTCCGGGAGCTGCATCAGCTGGTTCTTCGTCTGCGACGGGCGCGCCGACTGCGCCGACGGCTCCGACGAGGAATGCACCGGCGCGGCCTGCCCGATGCAGGCCTTCAGGTGCAACGACAGCAACGTGTGCATCTCGAGGTCGGGGGTGTGCGACGGCAACCGCGACTGTCCGCGCGGCGAGGACGAGATCGGCTGCAACAATCGGCGAAGTTGGTATCCGCTTTGATTCGCCGCCAAAACCGCCTTAAGCGTCCGTCTTCGGGTTTTCGCGAAGCGAACTGATACGGCGGTCGCATTAGTGACGCGGACGTTCCTCTTTATGGTCGTTTAAATCGACGTAACTGAATCGCTTTTCACGAAACGTTTGAGCCTCTCGTAATTAAAAAAATTTGATTATTTCAATAATCTTCCGCAACCAATTATCTGCGTTGGCTTTGAACAGCTTTTGTATTTACTTGTGAACAATATTGACTCGGTAGTTTTTTAAACATCTAACCAAAATCTCCAGAACTTTCCCTTTAATACTCAAACTTCCTGTGAAAATTTAATCGTAGAAAAATTACAAATATTTTGCATTAATATTTATTATTAAATTGAACAGAAACTAATTGGCTCGATGTCCGTTCGTCGGCGTGAGCGTTTTACTCCATCCAATCTTTACATCTGCTTCCCTTCGAGATCGTCGAACGTTTCGTTTGATCAACACGTGTATCTCGCGTTTCCCTTGAAATTCCACGTGCCTCTTCACGGCTCGTTTGCGCAGAGTGTCCCGAGGGTGCGTTCAGATGCAACAACGGCCAGTGCCTACCGGCTTACGAGTTCTGCAACGCGGTGGTGTCCTGCAGGGACGGCAGCGACGAGCCCAGGGGAGCATGCAGAACGCGCAATCGTGGCAGGATCGCCCCGAGATTCTGTCCGTTCAGGTGCGACAACGGCAGGTGTCGTTCCGACGCGATAACCTGCAGCGGCCGGGACGGATGCGGCGACGGTTCCGACGAGAAACACTGCAGTGTCTGCAGTAAGTACATTTCGTTTTTGCTCGAGGCGCGACACGAGAGCACCGTCGGTATTATCTTTAAAAAATTACCTCGCCTGCAAAGAAAAGTAAAAAGAGAGAGAGAGAGAGAGAGAGAGAGAGAGACGCAAGTTTTAATCTCTCGTTTAAACGATGCCTTACTTCACGGTGTTTTTCTTCCTTGAAATTTTTTTCACCTCGCTCGCGTAGCAATCTTTACGTTAAGTTGCACGTGGTAGCAGCATTGTGGATTAATTTTTAATTAAATGGCAAGGAGTAGCACTTACGAACGTTTATGTGAAACAAGTGTGTGCGAAAGGTCTCCTCGTGCTATTACGAAATAAATAAAATGCCGCTTATGAAAACGTGTCTTTCCTTCCGACAAGGGATTTTTATTCTCGGCAATTACGGGCCTGTTTGCGTCGAACAAGCAACGGTGTGCGCGGTGCAGCAGGGTGCAGCAACATTCGCGATCCGGCGCGTCGTGGGGGCCGTCGTTTAGATCCGCGCGCGCTCCGCTTCCTAGAATTTAACGAAGCCACGCTCGCGTGTAATTAGAGCGGGATGCATCGATTACGCGCTATCTTCCGCAATAATCTACACACGCATCCGGAAGAATAGTGAGAAATTACATAAATGAATTAGTCATAAACAAGAGCACGTATCCCGAGACGGAAATAATTCAGGCGCGATTCGCAGGCATCGTCCGTGCAGGAACGGCCCCGCGCGGCCGAGATAAGGTGACCATTGCATTCCTATGCAACCGGCGGAACAATAGCGGAAAGATTTTTTACGGCACCACAACAGTACCTAAAAGTTCCATCATGCGCGCAGTGCATTTGCATTTACAGTTATCTTAAAATGATTTCGCTTTGTTTGTTTCATTCATTTCTCTACATATTTTATTTATTTTCCCGTGTGTTTAAGGTGTGCATTGCCCGTAAGTCAAAATAACCGAGAAAAGTACGAAAGCATTACAAATTGATCTACATTGCATTTGGAAAAGTGATGCCAAAAGACGGTGATTCAGAACCCGGATCAAAAGTTATATATGTATACAATGTGTAGAAAAAAAAAATGTCTCTCTCCTTTTGAAAGAGAGCAACGTAGCCGGTTCGCCGTCAAGAAAGGCGGAAAATCGGAGTAAACTTCTCGACCGAGTCGATCTCGCGTCGCGAAGGACAAAATCCCGCGCGGAGATTTCGGCAAATTAACGAACGCGCGAACGAAATACAGCCACAGTTGCACCTCACCTCCCTTCAAACGCCAATGTCGCTTTATCATTCCCAACGTGGGTGCGGCATCCCATATTAACGACGATAACGCGCGTTCGTAACAGAATGCCGATTATCGAGCCGGCATGTTGCAGGATGCAGCGGAACGGTCTAATCTCGGCCGGCTGACCTCTGTCGTGTCGCATCGTCGGACTAAAGGATGGAAGGAGAAGGCGAGGGAGGAAGAGAGAGAGAGAGAGAGGGAGAGAATGTGCGTGTTTGTATGTGTTTGGACGGGAGGAAGAGGTCAGACCCAACTGACTCGTCGATCGTTTCGCCAGGTAAGTGCCTCGAGTATTGTGGCGGGCACAAAAGTAAGTGTGACCAAAGATCGTTAAGCCGTATCGGCGACTCCGGCTTTCAACGCTCCGCGATCTCGAGACCGAGAGGACCGTTTTTACTCGGCCGTGCTCGAGTCCAGCTTTCAGAGGAAGAGAGAGAGAGAGAGAGAGAGGAGAGACGGAGGGCTTCCCTCCGTCTCGCCTTCAGCCCTCGTTAAGTCGAAGCGGGCCAGTGACCGCCGTAGCGAGTCTCGGGAGCGCTCTCGGGAGAAATGATTGCGCTCGTGTAATAATGGGACTTAATCGCGTATAATGATGCCGTAAGACGGGGGTTAGTTTGCACAGACGTCGGATAAATTCGCCCGAGTGGTGAATGAAGAGTGCTGCCGGGGCTCGTCGTCTCGGAGTGTTTTGTGTCCTGCGCGCGAAATATTATTCGCTGTTCATACCGAGGTATGTTTTCTTCTTCTTCTTTTTTTTTTCACGGGGAGATACGATGGTAACGCTGTATAATCTCAAATATTCAGACGTGGTAAGCGACCGAGAGATCAGGTTCGTTGCCGGTGGTATATCGATTCCCTCGATATCATACGCGTTGCCCAGGCGGTAGGCGTGAGATAAGCTCCGAGCGTGGGGTATGTATGTACCATCAGCTTTGACGAGGAAACCAATTTTCTGGCGAGTTTCACGCCGCGAACTCGGTAATGTCGGACGATTTTTTCAGGCGAAAACCGACGAAAACTCGAAGTTCCGAATATACGCTCATGCACCACGTACTTAGCACGGGAGACGCGATATCACGGCGGAATTGTCGTCGGGAAGCGCGCGAGTGTAATAGCTAAGACGATTAACACCTTCGCGACCCTCGACTGAAAGCCGCAATTTCTTCTTGAGACAACTTCAAATAAATATTTGCTAAAGAGGATTGGAGTAATCGTTTTATTTGAATTAAGCAAATATTACTTGGACGTAATACACTAAAAGAAAAAAGGAAAAAAGGGTAAAAAATGCTCTACACCGCGAAGGGCGCGCAGTAGCGGTCGCGAACGTGTTAATTTCAGGATGTCATCGCGCGCACGCTTAGATTCGAAACTTTCTGTGAGCCAAGCGTTCTCGCGATAATACGTCTCTCGCGTTGAGTTTAAACGCTGCACGTATTTATTAGTAGGTTATCGAGCTCGAGACACGAAGAGCGGACGTTATATTAGTCTTACGAACGTGTGTACAGATAGTAAAAAAAAAAAAGGAAAGAAATAAAATATTATCGCGAGCCAATAAAGAATTACGAACGAACGAGCGAGCACACGCACGCACGCACGACTCGTCAATAATTTTGTACGATTTCACATCGCCGTCTACCTGAGCGTCTCGACGGCCCAGCCGACGTGCACCGTGCGACATTGTAACGCGTATCTCGTTGCGCATCGAGGACACGAGCGCAATTTGTGTAATTCGACGAGTCTTAATAAAGTGACGACTTTCAGGATGCACGTTGATTCATCTCCTCCCACACATATGTACATTCTCCACGCGGCGATAAAATACTCGATACAGCGACGCGCGCTGTGTGTCCCGAAAGTGACGGACACAATCGATTGCACAACGAGTTGCATTTTGCAGCGGGTCGCAGGCGCGAATAGCGCGAATCGCGTTAGCGAGTCGCCGACGACCTTTGAAAGTCAGATTTGCATTGCACGGATTGTCTCATCGTCGTCGATGCGCACAATCAACACACTGTGAGCTCCGTCGTCGCGAAGCGACTCTATTCCCGAACCTTGCCCTCAACGCTCGCCTTCGTTCGCGATCGCTTTTACGTGACACGCACGCGAAATCGTGCGTGATCGATATAGTACGGCGAAGAATCATCGTTCAACGGAGGTCCGTGAGATCACCCGGCGAATCATCGTCGGGAATCATCACGGAGAAATGTATCTTTCGCTTATCTCATTGTAAAACAATTTTAGAGTAAAAAACACTTATCTTACAGTAGAAAAATTTTATGTTGGAAACGACCCACTGAAATTTGGTGTTACTTAGGAAATGTGTTAAGCAGTGCACAAATATAATATTAAATTAATATATTCATCATTCGTTTCTTTAACATACTATTACCGAACCAGTAGAAGCGTTTGTTATAGCTGCAAATCAAAAGTACAAATTACAAATTTGCTTACTACGAGGTCATTTGTTATTCCATATTTACATTAAAAAAAAAGTCGCTACGTTCAAGTAAATACTTGTTTAGGAGTATTAGAATAGTTTATTTTATTTGAATTGAGTAAATACTACTTGAATACTTCATTTTTCGCACTTTACCTTCCAGTGTGCCACATTCAAATAATATTTACTCCCAAATCCAAATAATCCAAATAATCCAAACGATCCGGATAAAACAAACTATTCCAATACTTCTTAGCAAATATTTGCTCGAACGTAGTAATCGTTTTCGGTGCACAACCCATTTGTTGCGAATACTAGTTAAATTGACCCAAGTTTTTCTCTCAGTGCGGTGGATCGTTTTTAACGCGAAACTTTTTGCTGTGCGGAAATTTTCCGTGAAAATACAGACGCGAGCAGCAAGTTGGAAACGCAAAATATATCTCGAAAATTTCGGGACACCCCGGTGTAGCGTGCACCGAGACGCAGGACGAGAGAGAGAGAGAGAGAGAGGAGAGGCGGGGAGGAGAAAACGGGCGAGGAAAAATCCTAGCACCTCGTGCGCCGCTACGCAGCCCAACTCCGGCCCACGTTTCCGTGGCTGATGTTGGTCCCGGGCAATTCCGCGACTGCGTGTCTGGCTTCGCTGGTGCTCGTCGATAACTGTCCGCACGATATATCCCGGAACGGCGTGCACGTGCCGCAGCATCAGGTACGTAGTCCGACGAGCGAACGAGCGAGCTCAACTCTCGACGCTAGAACGTCACACCTGGGGGTAAGCCTGGCGGTGGCTTCGATAAAATTCGAAAGTCCCGCGACATTCGCCGAGAGAGCGAAAATCCTCCGAGAGGAAGCTCTGTCGCGACTCGTTTCGCTCGTGTACTCGAAAAAAATTCCCACGAGAATCCGCGCCGTCCGACGAGGCCGGTGTTCTCTCCCTCGAGGAATCCGAGCGTATTTCGAAAAGCGAAGGAAGACCTCCAGCCGACGCAGAAGAACGGTCGAAGTTGCGAAGGATCTCGGTCCGCAGTTTGCGGTGTGTTTCGAGAGTTAATCTAATCGCGGGACCGCGTGCGTGTACCGATGCGCCACACCTCCGCCTGCTCCGGAAGCAGGATGGAAGTTAAATTAAGTTAAGAGTTAATTAACTTTCGTACCGTAATTGCATCCCCACCGTCTTTCCTCACCTCGTCCCGGTGATTTTTAATCCGGGATCGTCGGGGCATCGCGCGCGCGCGCGCGATGCCCCGATGTTGAGGGCTCATTTTTCATCCGGTTAACGTCGGAAGTTCGCGTCGCGGAAATTAACGTGACGCTTATTAATGGCACGCCCGGTGGATTAATCTCGCCCTGTGCGCGCATCCCTCCTCCGCGCCTATATATCTGTCCGTAATAGCCGCTTGATTTCCACGTTGCCGAATATAACACGGTCGATCGTGGGGCGCCGTTTCGGATACGCGGCTCGTTAGCGTCATGCATCTTCGCGATGTGATCCGCGATATACGCCGCGTATCCGCTCGATAATCCCGCGCGATCGAGTCGATGTAACTTTACGGTTGCTCGGCGGATTTAGCGCGTTTCATTAGCGCGTTCAGCCGTTCGCCGATGTCACGAATATACAGCCCCTGGCTTTATATTATTAGACGCATCTTGATTTTTTCACATTCCATCGACTTCCGGGGACCAGCTTCACAACACGGGCTCATCTGTCGGTCGGATTATGTTTTAAGGAACCGTTATTATTATTTTAAAATTCTACTGTAAAAGGTATTTCTTACGACGTCCTTTCACCTGGCTGTTACAGTGACAATTGAACGAGTATGAAACCGCGCTAGTTGCGTTGTTGATAATCAACGGGAACGTACGTGTTTTGAGTGTGTGTGTGTGTGTGTGTCAGTTGAAACTTAGTTTTATTTTTATTTATTCGTGACTTGAAACTTCAAATCCCTTGCTTGCTAACGGAAAAATCGATTCTCGCGTGAAAAATATTAATGTCGTTTGCAAAAAATTACGAGTGAAACGAGTGATTTGACACCTCGGAAGGTTGCAGCAAGTAAAAGCGCTGGCCGACACCGGAATGATTCTAATTGAGCAGATATAAAATTAGTAGCCTTTCCTCTGCTCCTAACTTGTATTCTAATAAAAAATCAAAGTGCGTCTAATAATATGGCCGGAGATTGTAGAGACCGCGTGTTCCAGCGACCTCAGCTCTCCCAAGACCGAGCGGCTCTCCGCCGGCGATCCCGAATTAGCGGTTTATTACCGATGCGTTTAGCGCGTCTTGTCCGCAAAGCGGATGCGGCGAGTTAATAGAGTTAACGAAAATTGATGATGAACCGGAGTCGATCTGGTCCGTGCGCAATAGGCCTTGATAAAAATCCGATATCGAGTCCGCCGCGTCGAATCGCCCCGAGATGAGATAATCTCGATAAATAATCCGACATCCGGAGGACGCAATGCATACTCCACGTTGCATTCCGGGATTAAAAATAGATCTGCTCGATGCAATCGTGTGTATCCTTCGCCCAGGTCGCCGATGTCGTCGCTCTAATAAGGGAAAGCTCGATGCGTCGCTACCGATCTCGACGTGGCTGCGCGCGATCTTTCGAAAATAGATCGCGGCTCATCCAACGCTCGATTCTTTTCGTTTCGGGAAATCTTATTGCGAATCTTCGGATCTATTTAACGTTATCATATCTGTACTGCTTTATCTCACTTTCTATTTCATCGATTGTCTCACTCCGAAAGAACAAAGCGTTGCATCCAAGCGAACATTTATTAAGGGGTATCTCAGAATAATTATCTTACCCGGATTAAATCAATCTTACTTAAACGTAGTACACTGAAAGGAAAAGGTGCTACGTTCAAGTGATATTCACTTAACCCTTTGCACTCGAGGCCTTTTTCGCTCGCGCGAACCAGCAACTCGAGACGATTTCGGCTAAATTAGGGAAGCATTTTACAGGTACTTTAAAATCATTTATACTCAAACAAACGTATACAAATAATAAAATTTCACCAATTCATTTATTTTTATATTGAATACAATAAAATTTGGTAAATATTACACTCTGTAATTAGTTTTCGATGTGATATTTCGTAAAACAATGCCCAAGATGCATCCTAGGTTTATCTGGACACGTATCACAATAATATGTTACTTCCTGTCTACCGCCAGGCGTGTTACGGTCAGAGCAAACCTTGCAGTCCCTTTTTGGCCCTTTTAATACTATGTGAGGCTTCCCATTTAGTCGGGTTTCGTCGGTATGCGACGTCGACGCTTGCTCACGATGCTGGCGATATGATCTTCTCAATTGCTCGACAAGTGTTTTTAGAAATCGCAAATGGGTGAGTGGCTTTTCCCCTTTTCTGTTCTTTCCCAGTTTATAAAGAATGTAGGAATTGACCAGGCAAGTTTCCATGCCCCCCAATAAAAGGCTTACGCCATCATTTGAGCGATTTTCGCAGAGAACAATACGTAGCAGCGCCGCTCGAGTTGACGCTTCAAATCGGCCGAGCGCCGTATCGGCGCCGCTCGAGTGCAAAGGGTTAATCTCCAAACAATTAAGACAATCGTTCGGCGAATATTTACTTGAACGTGGCACTCCCCCCCCCCTCTCTCCGAGGCTCTTCGATAACAATGACAAATAATCCCCCGACGTTGCATCCGCATACTGTCGCGATCAGCGTTTTCAGCCCGGCGTAGCAGCCATTATCGAAGGAGAGTGGAGCCTGTCAACGGCAGTTTTCGAGCTAATTAATTCGATCGGATAAAGTTGGAAGAGGGATCCCCGGCTGAGAGAGAGAGAGAGAGAGAGCCCACCACCGTCGCTCTCCGGAGTCCCGACGGACGAACGATCGCGCGGCGCATCGCCGGCGCACGGCGCACGAGTGGAAGTACGCCGGCGGTGGTGGTCGCCGTCGGCGACGACGACGACGACGACGAGAGCCGCGTCGACGACGACGACGTTTGCGCGAATCTCGTCAGTCGGCGACGGAGTTGCAGCGTGGGTGGCACACGCGCGCGCGTTGGCGGCCGGCTCGGATTCGATTAAACTTCGCCTCCGCGACCCTCGCGGGGTGAGACCTCGTGCCGAGGCCCGTTATGCTGCCGAGCTCAACCCCGTAGCGCGCTACGCCAGCGTTACTACGAGGCGAGGCGGAAAGCGGGACGCCGCGCCGTCTACCACGTTGCGCCGCAGGAGCCAGCTGAATCGTGGATCACGAGAGAGAGAGAGAGAGAGAGAGAGGAAGCAGCCGCCTATCTGCGTCGAAGAGGTAACTGAAAAGGGAGCCTCCTCCTGCCGAGGAGGCGGCGGTGTCCCGTCCGTCCGTCCGTCCGTCCATGTGGCCGCGTGGAAGCGCGTCTCGCCGCCGCGGCCCTGACCGAAACCACGACGGGCGGACGCGAAACCGCGCGTTGTTATCGCTGAGTCCCAACGAGTCCTATCGACTTCCGGAGCGCCGCGGACGACGGATAACGAGGTCCGCGGGCACTTCTTTCCGAGATCGGAAGCGAGTGTGTGTGTCGCGCGCCCGAGTGTGTGTGTGCGTGTGTGAATTCCTCGCGAAAATCGTCCGCACCCTCGCACGTTCCCGCCGCGACTCGCGGGGCCGAGTTAAGGACGGAAGGTGAGGTCGCGCGTTCGCATTCGCGGCCTTGAAACTCGACGCGTGGCCGAGCGGATCTTTCCGCTCGCTCGCTCAGCTTGAGAATTGGTTCGACGCTTTTTCGAGGAAGCTGCCCCGTGTGTGTGGGTTCGGATGTCACCGCTGTCTGTCAACGCGTCGCGCGACGTTCTCGACGCGTTCCAAGAGCGCGCGTTAAATCGCACGTCCGATTGTTTACCCGGAACGGCCGCTCGATAAATGGCCCTTTTGATAGATTGACGTCACGTTTACATTCTAACGCCGGTTTCGCGGGCCGGTTCGCGAGACAGCTGCGTGGTTCGTCCGCTGGACGTCCGATTATTTGATCACACGCACCTACGCTTTCGACGGGAGAACGTTTGTTTTATCTCGTCTTCCGCCTCCCGTATCGGGAGGGTATTATCGTTGATAACCGTTTGTCGGCCGAGGACAAACGGACATTTTGCACCGAACACAGCGCACGCAGCGGTGCCGCACGTTGAAATTTAACGCCGTCGACAGGTCCTCGAGCTTTCGCGATTCGAGTGCTGCGTGAACGATCGGAAATCATCTCCGTCGACTCGTCCACTTTCTCCGACCCGCTCATTTTCGTCTCGAGATCTATTCTCTTTGGTAGAACCGGGTTGAATTAGTACGGTACATAATTTCAGTTATAATTCCGGTATGATTCGATATTACACAATTTTGTGGCGATTTTTACTACGACGTTTTCTCCGCTTCAATGTGCACGTAAGTTTCTTCAATTAACGCAGCCAGGTCGGTTAAAATGAACAGACCATCGGTCTCGATAAACATTGCTGAAGAACATCGAGCTCACGTTAAATTCTGCATCGAGTGGCACCTGCCAGTGTTAGGTGAGAATCTACCGCGTGCCGATGGAACTATTATACCTGCAGACCATGCGGCTACGTGGATGTGTTCTTTTTATGTTACCTGTTCAAACGAACAGGCGTGAAGGAGATTCGCGATCGGCTAATCTGTGCAGATGATCAGCGATAAAAGCGCACAGCGAATGGCGAAGGTGTTTCTTCACCCGAGGAAACAAGACGGAAATAATTTACGTGGTGATATCGAGGAGAAGAGAAGAGAGAAACATTATCGGCGAAACACCTGTGCGCGCCGCGAGAGCAAACCGGAGGTACAAATGTGTTTGAACAAATTCGCAATAATATACGTGAGGCGATCGGTGGAAATTTCCTTATTGTCGTTGCCTAGCCGAAACAAAAAACAACTTGCGCAACGACACACACACACACAGACACACGCGGAAAATAACATCGTACTGATTTTATCTTTGGCTCTGACATCGACATTGTTTCCTCTTCTGATAAACGCGTATAAACAAATTCGCAATAATTGAATGAGCGTGAAGCGATCGAGGAGGGGGGAATTCCCTCGATGATTACGTCGCCAGGCAGTGACAAAAATACACCTTGCGCAGTAACAATCGCCATGCGGAAACGACTCCGCGCATTGGTTTTATCTATTGTTACTCTCAAGTAGCACGTCGTATTCCATTTTAAACGCTCCCGACGTTTCATTCACGTTTCATACCGCGAGCTTTATTACCAGCTCGTTCCGCATCGAAGTTCTCCCTCTCTCTCTTTCTCTTTTTACACGATGGGACGTCGTGGTGGAACCAAACTGCCGAAAAAAATTAAGAAATCCAAGAGCTCGGCTTCGTTTAAAAATAATTCGTACATCTAATTTTTGTCACAAAATGAGAATCAGAGTTAGGATATCGTGATTTTCTCCTGGAATTAATTTGAATTTAATTCTTATACGATGCCAAAATTATAGTACTTGCGCCATGTTTTAAAGTTCGGGTCAAATATTGCAATAGTCACTGCACATCCCGAGACGGTTATTCTGGGACGATAATATAAATACCATTTCTCTTTCTCGCTCTCGCTCTACGGTAATTACATCGTCGAACGTATTACGTCGCGCCTCGGCGAGTTTCGGCGCGAAGGAAGCAAGCGGGAATAAATAATGCGAGCCGCACGCCTGGCTATTTCGCTCCGAGATGCAGATTTTCGTAAATGGGTTACCGGAAGCGCGCAGAACCAGACGCGGCCTTATCGGCAGATACACGCATCCGTTGCGGAGAGCAATTGACGGAGTCGGCCCCGGGGATTTTATATCGCGGCACGGCCGCGCTCGAGATGAGAACGTACAAGTCGGCCGCGCAAACGGCATTTATCTAATCAGTTTGATGCCTGGCCACTTTAAGAATCGCTGCCGCAGTTCTGCCGGCCGCCCTTTCTTCTCCATCGGAATTCAATGCGGTACCTTCCTACGTACCTCCGCATACCTCGCGCGCCGTTCGGGGGAAATCGCGCGCGTTCCGCGCGACATGTTCCGCGCGGCGAATTTGCGAGACGACGGCGACGATCGGCAGCCGCATCGGGATGATTGATCGTGGGCTAAATCATTAGCCGACATTCTATACGTTCTATTCCCGCGATACCGCGTAACGATACGCACAATAGTACTAATAATGATCGCGCGGTAATTTCAGCTAATGAAGTAATATCGAATTACTACTAACATACTCGCAGTAATTTCAAGCTCCACGCGCCGTACCGGAGTGCGGTACCGGCTATTTTTAACTTAAAGTGCGTACTTCTTCCGCGACCTTCGGCCGCGAACGGCCGTCGACGGCGGAAATCGAACCAAAGGAATTCAGCGGGTGAACCGGTCCGATCGGGGGAAACGAGATTATTTATTATTTACAGAAACGGGAACATATAAAGGGACGTTACATAAGTTGCGTGATAGAACGTAAAATATTATATAACTTGTGCGGTTAAGTAGACCGGCGAAGTGTCGAAAGCGTTGACGAAATACCACGGAGATGGTAAATAATCCGAAGCCGATATCGAATAGAGTTATAAAGGGAACGTTAACAAAGGTTTGCTAAATTATTCCTCCATCGTCGTTCTATATTATTTAAACTCAATATCTTGTTGACACATATTCTATTATATATTGCCCCATTACATATATTATTCACCGCCTTAAATCTGTTACACACGATTTACTAAATTCTACATGAAGTAAAATACTAAATAAAATCGGGATATCTTGTCGGGAAGATCTTCGAAGTTGCGCCTCGAGTTATGGCGATACAGATAATGCATACGTTACTATCGTAACGTATCGATAAGATAATCCTCGCATTCGGTTCAATAAATCTTCACCTTACAAGGCGCGACGTTGAAAGAGCTCGTTCTTTCACTCTCTCGATTTCAGAAGGACGATCAGGGTAGCGCGAGACAGTCGAGCTCGTGGGTGACTCGCGAAGCACGGCGCCCGCTCGATGACCGCCTTGCCTCGTCGTCGAGAGGACAAAGCCGAGGACGAGGCGAACAGTGAGTCGCATAGCGACGAACGTCCCCGTCGTGGCCGATGTCGTGCGCGAGGGCGTCGGGAGACCAGCAGCGGCAAACCAGCGACACGCCAGCGAGCAGTTGAGACGTCCTCGAGGGTGAATCGGGGACACCCGCGGAGCCGACGGAAGCGTGAGCGACGCGAGATCATGCGGAGGAGCATCCTCTGATCCAACTGCGTCCGGAGAAAGGCGCGACCTTGACAATATGATGTGGAAGGCGAAATGGTCGCGCTTCACCGAGTGTTTCTGCCGAAGACCCGGCCTCGTTCTGGTTCTGCTGCCGTGCCTGTTGATCGTCACTCTCTACCTCATCTCCGAGGACGACTACGAGTACGAAGTGCAGTATCCGTCCTACAAGTCGTACAACATCGCAGAAGGTGAGTTACCGGCCTCTCGTCGCTAATATGGGGTTCCTCGATTCACTTCATACCTCGATCCTTGATTACAATTGATATTCGGGATGCCGTTTATGAGCACCGTTGTTCATCGCTTTAACGCTCCCTGCGAATTAATATCAGGACTAAAAATTATACTCGAAACTTCGAATTTCTAGACTTCCGACGCGTTATATTCGAAGAGTGAATTTTTGAAAGATGAAAATTCGAACATTCGGATATTCGAATATTTCAATGTTTGAACATTCGAAACTTTAAAAACTAGAAAGCACGTGTGTTCGTTTTGCAGGCGCGATGCAAGAGAAAATTACATTGCGTCGTGTTGTTATATATCATAGCAAAATTTGCGTTTATTTTAAAATAAAGTTAACGAGATTTGCTGTTTATCATTTGTGCTTTCCTCATTCACTTTGTTTTAAACTTGGACAAATATAAATCTCAGAATTTAATTAAAAATACTTGCCAAACAACATATATATGTCGAAGAAACTTCTTAAAGTCATCCTTTAGACATCTTATTCTCTGAAAGACGCCTTAATGTTATCTGAGTTAAACTGATACTCTCTAATTGCACAGGATTTAGTAACACTCTCCAAAATTAGTTCTTTAACAGCTTCGATCTTCCGAATCTTCAAATAGAGTTCGAAACTTGGAGTACTTCGAATCTTCGAACCGTGTCGTCAAATATTGAATTATATCGAAGTTTCGAAGCTTCAAACATGTCGAATAGTGTACTACCGCTAATTAATACTCGTTTGTATCTCGCGAAAACCGATACGGTCGATATTTTATACAATTTTGAGGTGCGGTGTATCATCCGCAACCCGGGCCGCTCAAGAGATTAACATTTACGAGGAATTGGCAGTTAAGTGGAGTTTTCCCACCACCGATAGGTCTTCAATATTCCAAATGTGTTGACAAATTAACGAACAGTCTTGCAACATCGATCGTCAACTATTTATAACGAACGATACCTTACGACCGAACGTGATGAGAGAAACAAACGAGTCAAAGTGAAGATATTCGAATGACGACTGGGTGCATCGAATTCGTCTATCCAGCTATTTCTCGCTTATTCGAGCACGAGATCTTCGCGGTTCTTCGATTATTATTTTTTTATTATTCGGCCGTCGAATCCTCGCGTCGCGAAGACGACGAAATTACAGCGGCTCACGTCTCACGGCAGGTATGGTAGACGGCTACCTCGTGTGGAATCCGAAATGCCACATGGTGTCCAAAGAGCCTTTGGATCCGTCCATCGTGAAGTTCGTGAGGAAAGAGAAGTTGGAGAAATGTCCGAACAATCTCATCTTCACGCAAATTTCGAGGGAGCCTAACGGTAGCGCGTTCCTCTCCCTTGACCCCGCCATAACGAATTTACACAGCGACGTCGCCTGTTGCTGGTCGTCGGTAGTCAGGCCGAAATTGGACAAGCCGAAGAAAGACGACTACGACTCGAAAATATCGTAAGATTGGTCGAAGCTGCTCTTAAAACGCTCAGATGTCACGGACGACCGGAATTCGGTACCTTGACTTCATTAACGTCGAGATTAATAATGTGTAGAAATCACTATACATAGTTAAAGCACAGATAAATATTTGTACAAAACTTTAGAATTGTACGTCTTATAGTTCTTTCAAGAAGGATTTCCAAAAATCGCCTACAAAACGACGTTTCAAGTGAAAATACCTTCCAAGGTCTCCGGAGCGTCTCTGAAGCGTCGAGAGAAACTCCCCGCGAAACCGGGCGAACGTGTCCTTTCTCTGTCGGCAGAGTGAAGCAATGTGAGAACTTCACGGGGCAAGTGTCGTTGCCGGCCGAAGTCGAGGTGGTGTACGTGTCGTGCAGATCGAAGACGGCGAAGAAGCCTGCGAAGGTGAAGGCGAAAGCGAAGCAGACGACGAAGACGGTGTACGAGAACGTCCACGCGGTACTGAACCCCGAGAAGGTGCGCGACCGCGTCGACCACAGCGTCAACCAGTCGGACACCCCGAGGAAGCTGAGCGTCCTCATCCTCGGCATCGACAGCGTCAGTCGGCTGAATTTTTACAGAACCATGCCGAAGACCGAGAAATACCTGCGCGAGACCGGCTGGATCGGGCTGAAAGGCTACAACAAGATCGGCGATAACACGTTCCCGAACCTGATGGCGATCCTGACCGGCCAGAACTCGCAGCAGGCGTACTCGAGGTGCAAGCCGACGGTCGCCTACAAGCTCGACAATTGTCCGTTCCTCTGGCACAACTTCCGGAACGCCGGCTACGTGACGGCCTACGGTGAGGATGAGACGGTACTCAACACGTTCAACTACCTCAAGGTCGGCTTCGTCGAGCCGCCCACGGATTACTACCTGAGACCCTACATGTTGGCCAGCGAGAAGCTGCTGAAGGTGAAGAAAAGGTAGTGACGCTTCATTAGTTACTACTTAGCCCGCCTGTTCATCGCGCGCGTCTCTCGCTTAGCTCGCTCGTGTCTTCCTCGTGCGGGAGGGAAAGTCACCGGGTTGAAACTCACTCGCGCTGCTTGCAGATTCAACATGAAGTACTGCACCGGGCCGGAGACGAGCTTCGAGCGGATCTTCGACTACGCCGTCAACTTCGCCCGCACCTTCGTCGGCGTGCCGTATTTCGGCTTCTTCTGGACGAACACCGTCAGCCACGACAACATGAACGGCATCTCGTCGATGGACTCGCGGGTGCTGCAGCGGTTCGAGCTCCTCGAGCAGGAGGCGGTGCTCAACGACTCGATGGTGGTCTTCCTGAGCGACCACGGCATGCGCTGGGGCGCTATTCGCAACACCTTCGTCGGCTGGTACGAGGAGAGGCTGCCGTACATCTACGTCTGGCTGCCCGAGTGGTTCCGCAGGGAGAACCCGGAGGCGCACCGGGCTCTCGAGATCAATCAGAATCGACTGACCTCGCCGTACGACCTCTACGAGACCTTCAGGGACATCCTCGGCTTGGCGGCCGAGCCGAGCGCCGGCTGCGCCACTTGCCAGTCCCTCTTCGCGCCTGTTCCCAGAGAGAGAGGCTGTCAGGACGCCGGGGTGGCGTACCACTGGTGCACCTGCACCGCCTTCAAGTCGGCCAACCTCCACGACAGGATCGTCACCAACGGCATCCAGAAGTTCCTGGACCACGTGGAGAACATCGTGCGCAACTACAAGGACAAGAAAGGCCGCCGGCTGTGCGCGCGACTCAAGCTGAAGAAGCTCCACCGGGTCGACCGGGTGATCGACTTCGGCACGGAGAACTCGGCCAGCGTCGCCTACCTCTACATGCTCCAGACGACGCCGGGCAACGGCAACTTCGAGGTCACCATCAGGTATCACGGCAACGGCAATTACACTCTGTCCGACAGCGAGGTCAGCAGGATCAACGCTTACGCGATGAGTGCCCGGTGTCTGAATCGCGGGATGAAACAGTACTGCCAATGCGTCAAGCATACGTAGTGAACTCGTCGAAGCCGGGGTCCCCGCACGACCTGACGTCGCGTCGATCGAAACTTTGTACTTCGTTAGTCCTTCCACGAATCGTTCGTCGCGCCGGAACGGCCGAGTTCTTCCGGGGAGATCGGACGAATCGGTCTTTCTTCCGAGAAGAACGGCTTGTTCTCGAGCACCGAGAACACGCGTTTAACGGAAAACACTCGGAAAGATCTCGGCGGAGCTTCTCGGTGAGCTCTCACGACGCGCCTTTTCCGCGACGATCGATCCGACTGAATTCGCCCGCCGGTCGAAGCTCACGCATCGCCGCCTCTGCGCCAGCTCTTGAGTTGCCGAGTTCTCAATCGCATATTTGTGTTGATGTGCTTGGCAAGAGGTATCGAATGCACATATCAAGCGCACATATCGATCGTCTCAAAGCCGGAAACTGAGCGGTTACACACGTGAAAAGTGGTTGCACACTTTAGCGCGACTAGATTTCCCCCGTCGTGGCTGCGGTAGTAGCCTGGAATTCCAGTGATGAACGACAAGTGCTGATTCGATCGGTCGGTTCGGGCAGTGCCGGTGAATAGAGACGGCTTCGTCGACACGACGTAATAAGATCGTCGATTCTTGACGAATGGGGATTAAACGCCCAGCTACGCGCCAGAAATGCTATTTCGATTAGCCGGCGAGTGACACCTCGCGTTTCGCGCGGAAGAAAAGACTCGGTTCCTGCAATTGAAACGGGGACGAAGTGGAAACTCGGCGACTCGGGAAATGAAAAATTCGATAACGAGAAATGATATGTCACCGTCGCGTTCGTGAGAATATTTTCAGCCGCATTAAAACTCAATTGGGACAACTCGGGGGGCCAGTTGATCGAGAAACCTCCTACGGAAATCTTTCTGTTCTTACACATACATACGTACGCGCACGGTCGGCAAATTAAAGGTTGCAACGCAACGCTCTTCTTCCGATGAATTTCACGATACATCTCGTATCCAACGGGAAAATGTATCTCTTGGGGGTTACTGAAAATAAATTCTCTTATTGGACACGGGATGCGTTGCGAAACTCACCGAAAAGAAAGTGTTGCAACCTACCGGTAAATATCGATGCACGGTAAAAAATGGTGTGTTAAATTTAACATATTTTACATGTCCCAAACGCAATCCACGAAAATTTTTGTGTTAATTTAACACAAGGTAAATATGTTGAAAAGTAACACAAACATTGTGTATACATCTCACGTACATATAATATATTGTAATTCAAAGTTAACATAAAATTGATATACATAATATGTTTAATCAACATTGTGAGGTATAAAATGCGTTATCTCAATATTTACAACCGTTATTACACATATTGAATCAACACGAAACGTGAATCGATTCAACGCAAAATATTGAAGTGATATGAAAACAATATGTTAAATTAACGCACGGGTGTGTGAAAAATTTCACGCCAAAATGTCAGCAAGGACCAATCTTAACACAGTGAGAGTGAGAAATTCCAACATAGATATGTAATGTTACCGTTGGTTAGTGTTTGTTTTAATCTGCCGACTGTACGATCGAGTTGTCGTCTGGTCCCCAGTTGCATCCAGTTGCACAAACGGAATTGTTTCTTCCGTGCGTTCGTTGGACGCGACGTTAGATTTGGGCTCTCGAATCGACGGCGAATCGACAGGCAGTGCTTCCGCGCTTCGCAGTCTCGAATTTCGTTCTCGGCGCTTAGCTGGCTAAGCTCGCCGCGCGCGCTCTCCGTTTACGTGGATTAATCGTCGGGAGAAAACGAGCATCGTATGTGGGGAAATGAGCCCAGCGGAATCCGTCACACCTCTGTAATTTATCGTGTAATTAATGTACATTATCGCGCGTGTCGGAGCGTGTATGTGCGTGTCGCTCGCGATAATCCTTTATCTACTTCTACTTGCCTCCCCTCTTTTGTTTCCTCCTCCACGCACCGTTGCGCGTCCATCGATCGCGCGAGTGTTACGATTGCACGTTTTGTCTCTCTCTCTCTTTCTCTCGGATCGATATTCGTGAAAGATGCATGAGCGTGCGAAGAACGCACCGATGATAAGGAGGCCAAAGCACGTAATCGTGGAGATATTACGCGAGCCCGTATTCGTCGCCCTTGCGAACGTACCGCATTTAGAAACATTAGTTCTGGTTCGTAAGTAACGCGTGTGCCTGTCTTACAAGAAGTGCCAAAGTCCGTTCGTTCTGTGCTAATCGAGCGTCAAAGTGTTACGCCTCTGCTTCCCGTACCGAGGGCGGTTCGAAGCCTCGTCGCCCTCGCGCACGAGCAGTACGGGGACTCTACGTGTATAAGCTGAGAAGAAAGAAAATACCACAAAAAGGCCAATGAATATATCGTGACATATATTTTACTACGACGTTACGTTAGGTTTTTAAAACTTAGAGGACGACGCCGCCGCCGAGGACGACGCGAGCCCGACGGCGCTCGTAAGACATGTAATTATAACGAGCGTTTCGCCATCCGAGTCTCTCTCCGTCGAGGATCGAGTGAGCCAAATTGTGAATCAAATTCCGTAGACGACAGCGATAAGGTTTGAGAGAAAGCACGAGTGTAGAAACGTTCTTCGCATTCGTCGAGCGTGTTCGCTCGTCTCCGCGAGATTCTGATTTCGAAGACGTCGCGCGAGCTTGACCTTTGCGAAAGGGAGGCACATCCATGAGGAGGAAGTCGTCCACGGGGATTTGCCCACTCGTCTTTGATGCACGAGAGATGGGTTTTTATCTGCCCACAGGTGGATAAATTATTATTATAAATTATTTTAATTATTGTTATTATTATTACTGACGCGTCTCACACATTCTTCGCGTGGGAATATTTTTTATCCCCCCTCCCTTTCCCTTTCTCTCTCCGTTTTCTGTAAATAAAACCGATGCAGAAATAAAACCCGATATAGAGAGTTGTTCGAGTGTGTGACACAGCGGATTGCTGAGTAATTGCACCTTTATTAGAAAGTCATCCTACGCAGCAGTCTACATAAAGAGAAAGGTTTCTTTGGATTTAATAAAAAATGCTGCTCTAGCCTTCGCTCGTTTTCTAATGTTCATTCACTGCAAATCCTTTAGCTGAAGCTCTTCTTACATATTTCTCACGCGCGTCTTGCCATTTCAAATCACATCATTTACTATGATTCGACGTGTTGACGTCGTAATTTAACGTGTTAATTTAATACGACTTAAACGTTTTAAATGACGTAAGTTAAATCCTCGACAAGAAACATGTAAAAATAGCTTCAGTCAAATCATGTCATTTTGTGACAGATTTATGCGTGTAAAAATAACACACTTGGATTTACGGTGTTGTTAATTCGGTTGAAGCCAAGAGATCTTTAAAACCATTATATTCCGTTAGCCCTCCAATCTCGTAATCTCGTTGGCAAGAGAAGATTAATTCGACAGTATATTATTTAATCATTATTATTATTATTTTTCTCTTTCTTCGCTCGCCTGAAAAGTAAGAAAACTCGGATACATAGAATCATATTCTTTTTCCTCGATAATCAATTCCTCTCTGTCGAGGTCTACGACGCTCGAAGTCTGATTTCCCTCTCGCTCTGTGGCCCAGCTGCCTTGCACGTATAATCACAATTAAATTAACTCGACGAGGCATCCTCGCTGGAACGCCATATGCGGGCTCGCATCCTCTCCCGCAACTCCCTCGTGGTCCGTTGCGACGAGCCGGTCGGATTGCGCGCAATCCCGTGCTCTGGAGTGCCGAACAACATCACAGCGACCGATTGCCGGTGTCCATGGGATACGTTGAGGTTCCTGCGCGCCAAGTACGAGTCCAAGACGCGGATGCCCTCGTAGAGGCTGTCCAGGTCGCAGCTGGAGTAGCGTCTCTTGCTGCCGCGCCGGCCGAGGATGTTCCTCGGCGTGCCGTTCGACGTGCTCGCTATCTTGCTGGGGCTCGCCGCCTCCGACATGATCTCGAACTCGTCCTGCAGCTTCTCGTAGCTGTTGCACGCGCTCAATGTGGAGATCCTGGTGAAGCAGCTGTCGCGGGAACACACGGACAGCTTCCTCGAAGAAGCTTCGCGGAAGGGGGTGCCGGAGGTCGGCGACGACGCCGCCGTCGAGGTCAAGCTGGCGCCCTGCTGCGACGGTTTGGTCAGCGTGCTGCCTAGGAGGCGTATGATGACGTGCTTCGATATCGAGGAATCCTCCGTCTCCTGGCAATCGTTGGTCTTTTTCGCAGAAGTAGACGCAATCGTACGATCGTTTTCCGGCTCCGGTATCTCGCGGTCGTCGTCGTGGCTTGTCGGTGTAGTCGAATTGTTCGGGGAATCGCCGATCAGGAGGTCCTGAAGATCTCTGCTGATGGCGCAGCCGCATGCGCCTTCGCAGGAGCAGCTGGAGTTTCGGTCGTCCGGTCTGCCGACAGGATTCGACTCGATATTACGATTTTCAAAGGCTCAGAAAAAAAATCGGAGTTTCTCATTTTTTTTCTGGGTTTTTCGGATTCTCTTCGCGGGTAAATAAAAAGAGTCGGAAAAAAAAACATTTTGTCCTACTTTGTCGCGAATTGTTTCAATTTTGGTTTTCAAGAAAAAATCGAAACAAACGGTTTTGTTTTTGATATACTCGATACTATGAGTAGTAGTTTTTCAATCGAGTTGCATACATCTGGAGATCTCGGGGATTTTAGGATTACCCGTCGACGACCTCGTCGTAATGTTCTCCCGATGCACTCCGGTGATTCTCCTCCGTCGTTTCCGCAGCATCTTCCGCAGCGACCTGAGTCTCCTTCGGAGGACCGTCGGGTCGCCAGTTCGCGTCCAAAGTGGCGGGACGATTCATCGTAGCTGCGACATGAACGGACGAGGCATCGACGGATTGGGGATATTGCGCACTACGTCGGAGCCATGTACGACGGATCGGACAGATCTGTTTCATCGAGGCCGACAAGCCGGCTATTACATTTCTGGATATAGTTCCGGGCGGCGTGATGTAAGGGGGCGGCGGACTCTTGGGTACACGTGGCCGTTGATTGTTCCCCGACGGTATCGGGGTCGTTTGACTGCTACGACTGTTGCTCGCGCCATCCACTACCAGGTAGGTAGAGGAATTCGCGTCCTCGTGCCTTGATAGTGAGATTCGACATTTTAAATACGCGGAAAAAGTAAAGCCGTTTACGTTGAATACTGTAATATTATTAGGTTGTCGAGGATGAAATTTGTAGTAAATTTCATCCTTGACGACCTGATATATGGTAACTGTATTTAAATACAATTAAATACAAATTAAATTTACAAATGAATTCGATACGACATTGGATTCATGCGAATTTAATTTTTACTTAATCGCACTAATATGGCTCCGCGCGAATACTCTTATAAGTCTTATTTTAAACTTTGATTCGACATTTGATTTATAGAAATCGCGCGGTTTCGTGAAAATTGGAATTTCATGCTCGCACTTGTCTTGGAGGTTTCTCCTGTTTTCCGCTCGGGAGTATATGTCGTGGTAATCGGATCTAAAGATTTAGCGGGCTCTCATTCTCAGAGACGAATGGGTATGAATCGTTGATTCTGAGTGAAAAACGGCTCTTATTTTTCATTTGATTGAAAGTTACCGTTACTGTTACTTCACGACGGGATTCGAAGCAGGGAGATCGGAATGATTTAGCCGCAGGCTGCGAGGGATTATCAAAGAGCCTGAAATATTACCCGGTAACTCTGAAAGATCCAGCATGAATCAAAATAAAACAGCGAAAAGAGGATCTTACTGGTTCGGGGAGCTTCTGTTGCAAGATTCGCGATTCAAGCACCGAGCCTTGTTCGGCAAAACGAGCTTCGCGACCTCCTCGTAGCCCGGCGGAGCTTCGTACACGGGTGGGTCGTCCGGAATGGATATTTCATCAATCCGTGTGCCGTCTGCAATATTAAAAACTGTCCGGAGTCACGTGAGAGTCGTCTTGCTCCCATTAACTGTGGGAGCCAACGACTCCCATTAGCAGTCAACGCGCTTCGATCCGCGTACTCGAAGAGCTCACGATCGATATAATTCCGCGGACTCACGCGCGAACGACTCGGTAAAAACGCGTTCATCTTTCGCAAACATCGATTTTTTAGGACAGAAACGAGTCTCGTAATTGTCTCGTAAGTCAAATTTACCTGTGGATAAGAAAGGACAGTTGACGCGTGAGCTAAATAAATAAATCGAATCTATTCCACCTTCTTTTTCAAAAATCAATTAATATAGGACCGTAAAGAGTCAAAGCACGATACTAATGCCGTAAAAAAGTGTCTTTATTATAGTCGACTGTTATTAAGTCATGTTCGTGTATTTCAACGTTATGTTTCCCAGTAAGCAAGAAATCATTAATACAACGTTATTATAATGATATTTTATAACATGTAACGTTCTCAAATATATAGTCCTTGATGTTGCACACAACGTCATTGTTAACAACATTTGACCCGAACATTAAAAATAATATTTCTACATTACGATTTTAATATTTAAGAATATTATATTATTAAGTATAACAGTTTAAAAACATTTATAAAATATTATGTCAAAATACTTATAAAATCCACATAAAATTAATGTTTCGAGAGACTGACTTTAATGTTCCTTGTTTATTGGGTGTACCACTGAAGAAGATCTAGTATGACCGAAACATTTGGTTGTTTGCTTTGATCGACAAATTTCAATTAATTTGTAAGTCGATTATAATCAAGAGACGCTTCTTTATGGCTAGTATAACCATGTCTCGGCCCATTACGGTCCTATATTGATATTCTTTTTCAAAGTTCGCCGTGAGCAAGTAACGGCACTTCGTCTTATCTGTTTTCCGATAGTACCGCGACTTCCGAGACGTCCCGTGCAAACGACAGGAATATTCCTCGCGAAAGGATCGCGAAGGGAAACACGCACACGTACCTAGAAGCTCGCTGATTGTCTCGAGACGAGACTGCAGCTCCCTTTGTTGTCTCGCCCTGGCTCCTATTCTGTAGAGCAGTATAATGAGGGCCGATATCAGGACAATCAGACCGAGGCTGCTGGCAACGAACACCAGGGTGGCCGTTTTCAGATCGGGGTATCGATCGATCTTCGGGAAGTAGTAATTCGCTTTGTTCGTGTGCCACTTGCGATCGCGCGGCTCCACTTCCCAGTCTGCGGAAATGTTGGAGACAGCTTGGAAAGCAGCTCATGCTTACTCAACACACAATTTTTCTAATATTGCTCGAAAAATCGAAAATAGAGCTCGGTTCAGTTTCCCGACTGAAATTTCGATGTCGGTTCAACCGCTTCGTTTAAATAGACCATTTATTTTTAAACAGACAAAGTATTTTTCTCGCAGAAAATATTCACTCTGAAACCCAAATAAAAGAATTACTTCAATACCGCTTAGCAAATGTTTACTCGCATGTAGCACTTTTTTTCTTTCAGTACAACGAAGTGATCGATGTCGTTGTCTATCTTTCACCAACATACTGGTGGCATTCTTAGAATTTTTTTTTGTACTGAGCACGTCTCTCTCTTTAAAAACGTACTACCCGGAGTTTGTCTGAGTGTCTTTCTCACATCGAGCTTTCAAGTAGCAGTCGTTTTCCAAGAGACTTACCCTGAAAACACGTCGACGGCTCGTCGCTGTTATCGCCACAGTGATCGAAGCCGTCGCAGTTTAACTGGCTGGGGATGCACCTGTGATTCTGGCAGAGGAAGTCGTTGCCGGCGAAGCAGTCTGCAAACGCACGATCCGTCAGAATCGAATTGCAAGCGGGTTGTCAATTGTACCCTACAACTCGCCATCGTCGGGAACAAACTCACCCATGTAGCTGAAGGCCGCGTAGGCGATCGCCAAGTGAGAATTCGGGCCGAATGTGCCACGAAGACTGACGTGGAACCCGCTGGAGACCGGGGCGACGTGTTCTCTGTGTCTAGGCGGCTGCAGCTGGCTCGCCGGGTGCCTGATGACTTCCAACGACATCAAAGCCGAGGTTGGGCCCTCCTTTATGATCAGCTCCGTATTGCCGGCTGGAAAACAACTTCGCTCGATATCGCAGCAGACGTTCTCGAGGAATGCAAGCGCAAACGCCCAGAATCTCTACAGAAATCTCGTCCGATTCATAATTAGTTTTTCAAGCTCGGCACAAGCCGGGTTTTTTTCTCATTTTTCGGCTTCTTACACGGTAAAAAACATTTTGTACCTTTGTGTTGAAACAACACAATTTATGTGCGAGTACGTTTAACATGCGCGGAAGTTGAAACAACGTATCTTTTCAATCGTTTCCATTAATCCGAGGGGAGAAATGGAAAACGAAAAAACGACGGGAAAATCGAAGAAACCCAGTCTTTTCCGAGCCTTCAAAGCTATAAACACACACGTGAACTTTTCTAAACGAATTTTCCCGCCCCTCGAGACGGAAAGCGAAGAAATACGCGGAAAATACCCGGTCTACCTGCGAACCTTTAAAACTACATCCGTGATTCACGTACCCATGTCGGCGAAACCGACTACCTTCAGATACATGTGCGTCTTCATGTGCAGGAAGTTCTTAGGCGGCCGGATCAGCCAGACGCAGTCGTAGGTCTTCACCCCCTGGCCGACCATGTTCATCATCGTGATAGCGCCGCCCAAGTTTTCCACGTATCCGCCGCAGTCGGTGATCGGTTGCACGGACTTGTCGAACGTGTGGCCGATCACGAATGAGTAGAAGGCCTTGTATCCCAGACCGGTGCCGCCGTTCGCGTAGAACCTGATGAGCAAGGACGGTCCGGAGCTGACGATGACCGGCGGTCGAAATCTCGCGCCGCTGCTCACGTCCAAGCGTTGGCTGTTCCAGTCGTAGAACTGGAGGGGATCGCAAGAATAGGCATTGAGCCCGTCGGCTACAAAGGGTCAAAGAGGCGGGACAGCTCTCGGTGTCAGGGAGGGTAATTATGATGCACTCGGCTAACCTCCATGATGGAGACCGACGCCAATTGGAAGTCGCTGAAGAGCAGCCTGATCCGGCAGGTGAGGGCCTCGCTGGGACACGTGATGATATATTCCAGGCCCAGGTCCCGGGGATATCGAGCCGGGAAAAACGGCGAGGTCAGAATACCGCCGCCGGTGCCGTTCGAGCCCTTTGTCGGCGGCCCCGATGTCATTTCCGTGCCTTTCAAGTGCAGTCTATTTCCTGCGGGGCGAAAGAGCGGCGCGTCTATTCCGGAATACTCCGTCCGACCGCGCAATGACGTTCGATTTAAGGGCGAAAAAGGAGGAAAAAAGGAGATAAAAATTATTCATGCTCCTCCATGCCCGTTACAGGGCAAGTCGGAGGGAAGGGGGGACGTATTGCGAGATTCCGCGAAATAGGATGGAGAGGGTACTCTCAAAATACGACTCTCTCTAATTGAGTCGAGATGTATCGCGATATCATCTCACAGTTTCGTCTCGGTTATTCCGAGAGAAGCCGGATAGGAGATACTGTATTCTCGCATGTCCGGCTAATTAAGCTTTAACGCGACCGTGCCGGCTTGCTCTTAGCCGGACCCGACCAGGGAATCCCAAGGATCAGCTCGTAACGTTAATATAGTCAAACACGGAAATTATTGATCGAACGTTGTCGTGTATCCGTACTGACTTTCCGCCGTGTATTCGATGGTGAAGGCGTGCTTGTGGGACTGGCTATAGAGCAGGTTTATGGACAGGGTTCTCGTGCTCGATCTGTACGTGATCGGTGCGTAAAATCCGCAGAACGGTGTGCCGGACACGTCCTCGTAGGGTGGCTCCGAGAGCCACACGTAGTCGCACCTGCAAAGCACATATCTGCTTTCAAAGCAAGCCTGTGGCTTTTTACATCGCATCGTTACCGGAAGGTAATAATAACGTAGTGTAGAATATTCTCTGACGAAGCCGAGTTGAAACCGCAGAAGCTAATCGCCTGACAAAGCACATACAAAGCGACGAGGCTTGCAAAAGTCCGTCGAACCGCCGATGAGTCTCTATCGGCTCGAGAGAATCATTTTACAAACGTGAAATATCGCAGGCAGCTACGTGAAAGGTGGCAGAAAGTGAACAACGATATCAAGTGTACCTTGATTAAGTACGACGCATGTACTGTTTTTTTTTTTACTATCAATATAACAAAATGACGGACATCCGACGAACTTGTACAAGCATCTAATATTTAATTATAATTCCGTCGCTTTATTTGCGATATTTACGCAATCATGTTATGTACTATTTTCATTTTATTTTTAACTAATTTAAGTTGAAAATTAAACGCAAAACCGTCGTCCCTCCGCGGGGATAAGACGTGTGTTCCCGCTTATGTTAAACTTACGTATAAATTATGTTATTTCAACGCAAAAGAACGTTGAATTTAATTCTACACGATATCTTCAAATTAACACAATCGCGATACGTTAAATTGGCACACGGCTATGTTGAGAATTCAACAGGAAACTTCTAACACGGACCGATTTTAACAAAAGTGCGAAATGTTTTTTACTCTGTGTAGTTACTACCCTAACTCTGATTATTTGCATCGATTAATTTGATTAAATCCGGAAATATGTTCGGAAGAATCCGAACATTCAACGACGCGTTCACCGGCCGCGCATTGCAGTCCACCTGCCGTCCCACCTGCAGGGGCTATCCATTACGACACCTCCGTCGCCGCAGTGATGCGACAACGCGATGCTCCTGAAAGTGACGACGATCACGCAGGACGGACACGTCACCAGTCCAAGGCTGCACTGATGATGCGAGCTGTTAGTCGTCGCGTAGAGACGCGGCGCCGGCTGCCTGGACGGCGCGTTCCTGACGAAGGTGACGTTCTTCGCGTAGAGGACACCCTTCTCGCCCAGCTCCAGGTACATGCGTCTGCCATTGTGGGACCCGCAGATGTCCTCGTTGCGGATGACATTCCCGACCACTGCAAGCACCCACCAGGACGTCGCGAAGATCACTGCACCCGAAGAAGAAGGAGATAACGTCGGTATCGAGGCAGCTCGGCGAGTTTGCTTTCGACGCGTGTGCTCTCCTTTCAGTTGTCACTGCGATAGCGTGTGTTTCCCTTACCGTATTTAGTCCGACGCATATTCGCAGCGCGGAAAGCGACGTTCTGCGATTTTTGCCCCGGGAAAGCCGAGCAGCGATTGCGTATAATTTCGTTAGCGACGGTGTTACACACCTCGCTAATATCGAATAAGGCACTTTTATGGCATCTTTGAAGCGGCAGATCGCGTCGTCCTTGTGTTTTTTACTCACTACGGCGAGTTATACCCGTCTGTAATACATTGCACTTACTGATGACAATAAAATCGACTTGCAAATCCGCAAGTTACACAATCGTTTTATCGGCTTTATCGTGCCTTTCAATGCTGTTTCCGAGATCACCTTTGATCTCATCTTTGCAACATTTGCATCTTTACATTTATTTCATATTTAATAGTGTAATAAATGTCAAATGTATCTTGTAAACGTTTCGTAATACTCACAAATAAAAATGCGTTATAACTAACATTGTCAGCTGGCAACTACGTTGGCAACTGCTTTGTCGCATCACTGCCGGATCCCTATAAACGCGTAATATTCCCAGAATATTATATAAATATTATTAAATATTAAAGTAATATTCTTGTAATGTTCTAAGAATGTTATGTAATATTTTTTAATATTGTAGGAATGTTCTATTGATGTTACACCACTTCACGTAATATTCTTGGTATATTATAAAAATGTTTTTAGAATAATGAAAAATAAAATAATAATAATATAGAAAAATATATATAAATAAAATATATATATACATATATATATATATATATATATATATATATATATATATATATGCATAGAGTTGAATACTTAAAAAATATGTAATATTATAATAACATTAAATAATATTATTTTTTTAATATTATCAAACATATAACCTTCTATTAATATTCTAGAAATATTATTCAGTATTAAATAATATGTAGAATATTACTTAATATTAAATAATATTACGCGCTTATGCGGATATTATGTATTAGCATATTATCGTCACTGTATAACAGCGGGCTCTTAAACAAACGATTCCATAAATAGTCACTAATTCGACTTGATTGCGGAGATATTAAGGAAGGCCATAACATCTATATACAAAGACTATATATAATATCACCTTCTCCTCTATTATATATAAAACATTCCAGAGAAACAACACAAGACGTCCTAACAACATCCCGAATGTATCCGAGACGTCGTGGAAGCATCTTAGAACGTCCTGAGCACACGCAGAATAATCTTGACGTTTCGTGCTACGTGGGATATCGGTCTCTGAATTTCTTCGAGTGAAGTCCCATTTGGATAATCGAGACAACAAAAACCGGTCTACTGCAGCGTCGATCAGTTACCCGCCATTGACGCGTAGTGACGCGGAGCCGCGCTGCGTCTCGTGGAGAAAACTATGCGAGATCCTGATCTGACAGATATCCTGGAGCTGTCAAATGATACGTCCGAGATGGATCTCAGCATACACCCGGAAAGACAGAGATTCCCCTTCTGCGTCGTCTGGACACCGTTGCCCTTCCTAACGTAAATTGATCTCCGAAATCTCGGGCGTCATCCACCTAACCTCAATCTGTCTCCTGCGTATCCTGACATTTGTCACACCGTTGTGATTGTTATTGTTGATAAGTTACGAGGATATAGAGAGGACGCACGAGGCTCTCGAATTTTTCCCACGACAAATTAGAGTTCATATTTGTCACGTGTTACATGTGCGTGTTTTTAAGCCAAAGCATGGGAATTTATTTGGATTTTTAAGATACATACTGCCTTTTATTGGACACATGGGCATAGCAACGTCGGCGGGAGTGATAAGGGACTTCGCAGGGCCTTACCACGTCTCCGAGGACGACATGGCATTTGGCAAGCCCACCAAATACTGGCAGTTGGACTATACCAAAGCCAAAGGAGGTGTACAGGGATGGGATGCAGCTGTGGCAGAAGCTAGCGAAATTTATAAAACTAGAATGGTAATGAAATGATACAACTAGAATATGAGGAGGAACACGCTGCAGTTTCATGCGCACAATGACACAGAAGTCGTTTCTCCACAGCACTACTTATGTTGGGACAATTGTCATTCGCATGTAGCTCAAGCCTTGAACTTAATGGCGTATGACAGCTCGAGCAATTGGAACATGGTGAAACTTGCGTTTTATATGCTGATCTATGGAAAATATGTCAGGTAAAGATAACTGAGAGAAGTGTAAAAATGTATGTCAACCATAAAAGGATTGCAACACTTTTCCGATGGGTTTCGCAACACATCTTGTATATTCAATAAGGAAATGAGTCTCTCGAGAATTACTAAAAAATAAATTTTCTTATTGGACAAAGAATGCATTTTAAAACTTATTAAAAAAAGTATTGCAACCTTTTTGTAACTGACTATACATTGATATTTATATCGCACTTATCATCCCTATTCTCACTGATGGTATTATTGTTTCAGTGTACTGGGATACCTTAAGACTTGGTTACCTTTTTGCTTACTCGTCATAATTGTACTCGGACTAAGTCTATATTTAAGTATATAAATGTGCGTATAAGCGGAATAATTATGACCGCTATTAATTTAAGTACGAAAAAACGTACATTTTGAAATACTCTCCATGGAAATCTGGTGAACAAACGTGCAAGCATACAGCTCAGTTGAATCAAAGTGCTTGGCATTGTAATTTACGTTGCTTATAATTCAGTATTATATGCTGGAATATTAATCAGGATTTTGTATACACAAGAAATATAAGGAATTATACCAGTGAAGGTAATATATCTATCCGCATTTGTGTGTAGAAACATTTGTGTATCGAACAATTTATCAGATTTATGGTTCATAACTTACAATGCACATTTATATGTATACATATATATTACCTATAAAAATACGTTTGAGTGTGTGTGTGTGTGTGTGTATAATAAAATTAAGTTTAAGATATATTTTCCTTGACGTATACATTACTTTGTACACATCTTTCCTTACATTTATTATAATAATATAATTAATATACAGTCATTTTCTATAAAATATACACAATCGAACATGCATATATTACATGTGCAAACATGGCATTGAATTAAATCACCTCTTCTTAACATTGTGTTCAGAAATAAACTTTAAATAGTGCGTTCTTCTCGCATTAATAATAGTGTTTGGCGAATAGTTTTTTTTATATATTTAACCATATAACAACATTAATATTTGTATAGCAATATATTACTTATCCCCTATGAATACCTAGAAAGTTTTTAATTATGGCCATGAGAAAGACAAGAGTATATTTTAGAAACACAGGGTTCGCAATAAAAAAAAAACCAAATATCTATTGTGCGAGAATTACAATGCAATTACCTCTCTTGGAAAATAAGATTTTATCAAGGAACTATATAATTAAAAAATATGCTGTATCTATGATCAAGTTTAATTCCTTAATTCATAGAATTTTTATGTTTTCCATTCTTTGTATAAAAATTAGGATCCACGGGGTTTCATATTTCAAGTTACTCATCATTCCTACTATCCATTTCTGCGATGACACCCTCTTCAAGGGTGAAATCATAATCATAGTTTTGATTTTCTAATCTCTCAATGAAGGATAATATTTCGCTAATCCTTAATCCGTCTATATCTAAGTCGTTGTTCATATTACTCTGTAGTTCTTTGCTCAGTTTAAATGGCACACCGCTCAGGTAATGAGGAGCGTCCGTCTGCTGACTCAACTTGGGCAAGTTACCGGTCGACATGGCAGGATAAGTAGTAGGTGTCCCACCTATAAATGGATATAATCCACTGGATTGTGATGTGCTTTCTCCACCGACGTTAGGTGGCAACGAAGTCCTCCTCTTTTCAATTACTATAAAGTCATCAGATTGATCCCTAGAAGGTTGCTCCTCTTCAGTAGAATCGGAAGGTGAATCCTTGTGCTTCTTTTTACCAAACAACCAGGACATCTTCTGCAAGAGATCCTGATCTAATAATCTGTCAAAGTTCTACCTTGCACCTGATGCACATTAATTCTGGGAGTCACACAGAATGCTAACGGTTGCTTTTTTAGCGCCAGAATTTTTTAAATAAAATATTTCTTAAATAATATAATATAATTGTAAAGCTTTCCGGCCATCTCTAACGATCAAATTAGCTCGAGTTGTTAATGCTACTGTGCATGACAGGGGAGCTACAAACTTACAGTAAGATGCGTAGTATTGCAGAAAAGAAAGAACACAATATTTACTCACATGCAAACAGTTAAGAACTAAATAAAGGACTTAATCACAGGCTCAACAACCAACAGGTCGTACTAAAAACTGACCATGTTGCTTGCTTTATCTCAATTACTTCCTCGGAGTGATGAATGTAATCGCGCTCCCACACGACAAACACGATAATAAATAATTGATTATATTCAATGAAACTTTCTACACTGGTGCAAAAAATGTACACCAAACTGTGTTCTTACGGCTCCGGCGGACCAATGCAATACGTGACGCGACACGTAACGAATGATATTCAATGTTCTTCTAGAAGAGCAGTACGCTCATTGGATATCACGTGTCACGTGTTGCATCGCGCTCTGCCAAAGTAATTAGTAGAAATGACGTCAACAGTCGCTGTTCTTTTTCGAAGATAAAGCGTAATCGTAAAATTATGATATTAACACAGTTAAAATCTAGAGATTTCAAGCTTTAAAATGTTTTTCGAGCCACGTCGTTATCGTTATTCTTGCCGAAGTTACGACTCATTAAATTGTGCCTATTTTTTCATGAAGCAGATGCAATGGTTTTTGCACGTAAAACACGGAAACGCTTGCGCGTAGCAAAAAACAACGCGGTAACCAATAAATTTTTAATTTTATTGAGTGACACATTGATTGGCTATTCGTATAATATACTACGTCGCATAATATGTGATATATCGCCACGCGACAAGCGTTTCCTTGTTCAGTGTTCGAGAATCATAAAAGAAAGTTTGTCCCGCTGTTGAGTAGTACTACTTGAAAAGTGATGTCCGATTCAACTGTTTAGTCGCACTACTATCTCAACTTTTCGACAGTACGTTTCCTGAGAAGTGCGCCAAACTACGTTCGTCGCACGCATTTTCCAGCGGTAAAGTCACTTCGTGTCTTTTTTACTTTCAAATTTACTTTCAAATGATAATAATAAGAAAGGAAATACGCCACCTAGCTGAGCAGTTGCAATCAGAGATCCCACGAAGCGGCCTCGGGTACGTGAAGGGAAGACGCACACAAAGCCGCGTGTCGTGTACGTGTGCGAACATTGGGCGCTTTCATGCCTCGATTTTAAACATCGCATTATCTGAAGATGATTATCCCGGTCCTAAATTTTATTCTTACGTCGGAAATTTCGTTTGCGTGACGAGTGAATTACCAACAAGGCAATTCGTACTTCCTGTATTTACAAGTATCGATAAACTGTGTGCAACGAGCGGTTGCAAATCCACCTCTCTGTCTCATCATTGGCTGCGTTCGGCGGAACGGTTACTTCGCAACTGCTGGAAATTTCTTCTGCTGAGATTGGACTGTTCCTCCAGATCTAAGAGGATAATCCAATCTCAGCTCAGAAAACTTTCGACAGTCGCAAGATAAACGTTCCGCCGAACGTAGCCATTTTACCACGGGCATCGTTACTTGCACGCGCTCCCGCTAGATGACGACACCATACCGAATCGTTGACGCCAGTGGACGCGCACTTTGAGCCGGGATACTACACGTTTTCGCGGTCGTGAGGCAATTCCGACCGATTGCTGAGTTCACCGGAGAACGCCACCAGTTGTCAACTGTCTTCGGTCATTCCTCGCTAATATCGCGACAAGTAACTCCATTAATCCCAACTCAATATTAGCTATATTACAATTCACGGTTTATCGCGAACAAAAGTCTCGCGCGTTCGCTACGCGCGATCAACGACTCGCGACGCCATCGCGAATTTCCGTTTGATTCTCCCTTCGTTCGACGTCTTCCGCCTCGTCGATGTCATTACTTCCACCCTGGGCCGCGCCGATTCCCGGGGATGCGTGAAAAAACCCGCGGAAAACTCTGTGGGGCGACGACCACCAGTACGGCCACCGCTGGTTCCCGACGGTGGTTCGTTCGGCGTTGAATCGAGCCGACGAGCGCTCGCGAGCGCCGGCGGAAGCTGCCGAAGGGCTTCGGGACGCGCGTAGGTAGATTAGTCGGGGTTCGCGCGTTTCGCCCCACGGTGGCGGCGGTCCACGTTCGCTCGCATCTGCTTGTGCTGCGAATCGTAAGCGGAGAACCGTGCGCGAGAACGCCCGTAGTTACGGAACGCGTTCCCGGCAGACAACGACGCATGCGTGCAGCCGCCGCGGCTACGACGGACTCTCGCGCGTGTCCGTGCGTGTCTCGCGCGTCGGTGTACGTGCACACACGCGCGCCTCAGCCGCTTCCTGATCGTCGCTTTCGCGTACCTAGTTCGGCAAGCCGCGTCGAGGTAGCGGCGCGATCGCATTGTTTTTGTGTCGCCGCCGTGTGTCCGTCGCGCACGCACGCTCGCGAAACGCACGCATCCCCGCGCGCGCGCGCGCGCGCGAGCGAGAGAGAACGCGGCTAGTAGTATCCGGTGAATCGCGCCGATCTCGTCGAAAACGCCGTCGTTACCCGCGTACCTCTCGGCGCAGCGGCCCTCCGGACGCGTGCCATCATCCTTGCTGAAGGACGACGACGTCCGCGGGTCTTAGGTGTGGCGGAGTGGCAACGTGCCGCGGGTAAGTACGAACGCAAGTCGCACCGACACGCACGCACATGTATACACACATACAAGCGCATACCGCAACACGGTGTCAACGTACACCGTCGCGTCTCTCTCGAGCGAGCGAATCGAGTTTCTCGCGTGCGATCGCCGCCGGCTCCCCGGGTAATTGCGCACGTCGGACGCGAATAAACGGAGACGAGGAGACACGTCGGCTCTGTTTACCGAACTAGGCTGCACTTTTGCCGTTTCAAGCGAGACGGGTACATAACTCAGCTCTGAAGGAATTTATCGCTCGAAAGGAACAAAGTTTCTTCCACCGCAGCCCTAGGTCGGGGGGAGAAAACGGTGCTCTAGTACGTGTCAACGCACGGTGAATCCCGACGGTGCGTAATTTTAGCGGAGTGAGCGCGCGGCCTCCTCGCGAGGAACGGAAACAGACGTGCACCGAGAGGCGAGAAGTTCGAGGAACGCCGGCACCTTTCGAATTCGCGAGCGCTACTACGCGCGTCAAGTCGCCGCGATAAAACGTGGAATCTCCCCGCCCCACCCCAGCCGCGGGGGTTGCGTACTTGCTCGTAAACCGCTCTCGGAGATCTCGGGAATTCGCTCGGAATTTACGCGCGCGCTCTCAGCGGAGCGACGCTCCGCTGTAACGCCGTGATATCCTCCCGGTTCCATCGATATTCACCATGACGCGCTCTCGCCGAGATAAGCATGGTGGAGCGACTGACCTTTCGTAAGCGCAAACGTAAATACGAAGAATATTACGCTACGTCCGGGAGGTCAATGATTATGATTTTGAAACGACTCGCCCGCGGAGGCAAACACGCGCGGATGAGGTGATATTCGCAATCGGCAACGAACAACGTAATATCTCCATTGAGGAGAGGAAGAGAGAGAGAGAGAGAGGGGAATTATTGACATGTGAAAAAAGTCAGCATCGAAACAATTTGACGTAGTTTATTCGAGGCTATTGTGCGAATTTGACGCTGTTATATACATTCTATTATAGCGTGATATATCAGTTCAACAATTGGGACATACTATGTAGAACGTAGGTCACCCGTGTAGGTCAAACTGTACATATGTGTGTCCTTCTATGTTACTTTCGTCTCTCCACGTGGGAAAAAAAGTCTTAAATCAACGACGGACATTCTCACGCATAAGCAAGAATATTATAATTAAAAGGAGGATTTTTCATCTTGAATTGAGTGCAAGTAATAATACTTGCATCGATGCAAATTCAATTAGGGATTATAGTATTCTTATATACGAGAATATCTATTCTTGATTTAAGATTAATTTTTTTATGTATCGTTGTCTAATTGCTAAAAATCAGCCGGTCGTCGTGCGTGAAAAAAATCGACCGCACGCAGGTGGCATTTTTCACAAATAACACTCTGCATCTATTCTCGCTTCCAAAAGAAACGTAACGAAGAACAAACAACGAAGGGGGGAGGATCGGGCGTGTAATAACGCGAGTACGCTCGATGTTCTGTTCCATCGAGCGCGAAATAATGTCGAGTCCTGGCTGCGACAGAAAGAGCATCTGCGGGACGAGCCCCGTGAAATTTCCAATCGACCCTAAAAATGTCGGGATTTACACGCACTCTCCGTCGTAGAAGGTAAATCAAGGTGGCCGTGGGTTTCGCCCAGTGATCCCCCACGCCACGGCGAGATCCGACGATCGAAGATCACGCGCAATTCTCTCTTGCTTCGCATCGCCGAGAAGATTGTTAATCTCGCAGATAATTAATCCGTTTAATCATTTCTCGTCGTCTTTCGTTTCCTTTTTCTTGCCTTTTCTTCCGCCGCTTCCCGTAATCCGCGTCGATTCACCGTACGTGCTCGCTCGCCTTTCGAGCGAAGCGCTCAGCGCGACGCCACCGGCCACATTACGTTAATAAAAAGCGAGGCGCGCTTTTTGCACGTTATCACGTAGATACCGCGGGGCATTAATGCCGGTTATTACGAGGGCGGCAGTCCGGCACTAACGTCGCATCATGAACGGCGGCGCGTGGACTTCACCTTTATATCTTTTTTTATTCGCGTCGCGCACGCGGACGTTATTTTTACTATCCTTATAGGTCAGAATTTATAGGGAAGCCGGGGTTATAAATAAAAATTCCGCTTTTATTAAGTAACAAGTCGAGAATTAATTCCGTATGGAAGACCGATAAAACCGCACAGCCCCAGCCTCGTTTTGTTATTTCCTCCCATCTGCCCGTCTCCTCACCACGCATTTCACCCCGACGGCGATGCGTCGTTTCGGATAAAAAGCGTAAAACCGCGCACGTGTACGATCGCGGGACGTTTGTTATTTTCACGAATAAATAAGTAGGATTGTACAATTGAGTCGGCGAAAAACCGGACGGAAACCAACGTCGTGCCAATCGAATTCGCGCGTGTTTCGATATGCCATCTTTTCCTCCACGTTCGGAATTTTGTATCGTAAGTGCGATTATCATGCATAGCGATCGACGCGATATTATCGAGATCGCGCTGTTTTATCAGCTGTTATTACGTAAACGTAAATGCCAGCAAAAAGGGAAGAAAAAGAATCGCGTGTAAATATTCATCAGCACGTGTGTAACTTCGATACGTTCGATCTTGGACGCTGTAACGCAAGATGAGAATTATATCCTCACGCTTATTAGAGATGATGAGAGCGTAATTCTCGACGTCGCACGTCATGTAAAATCTATCGCGTATAAAATCTATCGCGTATAAAATCTATCGTAAAATTAGAAGTTGCTCTCAAATTCGAAGAAGAGAGTTTTTACCGCGAACGTCTACGACGCGCTCGAAATCGCGTAACGTAAACGTTTCCTGCGCCGCTAATTTCTTTTCCTTTCTTTTTATATCGATGAGTTACGACGTATTTCGTAGATTATTTTTAGATTGGCGGTCGCTGGAAAGAGAGAAAAAGAAAGAGAGAGAGAGAGAGAGTGAGATCAATATATATCAGCCGATGCGCGGATATATAGCTGCGTAATTATTTCAAATCAGAAATGTGCCAGCGAGAGAGCGGCATGAGAATTCGCGATACATCCGGCTGTCATGGGCACGAATGGGCGAAAACGAAATCAATAATGCGGAGATAATGGCGATAATTAAATTTAGGGATCGACAAGCAGGTGGTCGCGCTGCGAACTTTTGATTAGACATCGCACAATTATGCAACGCCGCGCTTGACGTTGAATAACTAGTTTCAATTTTTTTTTCTCTTCTCGTTTTCATTTCTGTTCCCCCACTCTTCGTCTCCCCCCCTCCCCCCTCACACTCCTCCGTGTCTCTGTTTGTCTTTTTTCCTCCGTCTGTCTGTCATTCTCTTCAATTCTATCGCGTTTATTTTTATCACAGTGACAACGACGCCGTGCAAAACCGTGCAACTGTGAAGTATGCGCGCGCCATCAGAAATAAAATATTTATTTTGCGGGTATTATTAGTTTTATCGAGCGGCGACACAGTTCCTATTGAAAAATGGACTGCGCGTTGATAAAGCGTTATTTCGTTTTTTGTCCATAAAAATTGCGCCGTCGTTTGGCCCCTCCCCTTCGTAAACAGCAATCCATTAGCTCGGAGGTAAGTGCGCGATTTTTTATGACTTTCACGGTTGCGCGTGCGCGCGGAGTGTATATTATCAATAAATCGTTATTGTTCGACGTCGAATTAAGCGTACGACGAATTATCGCCTCCTTCTCTCTCTCTCTCTCTCTCTCTCTCTCTCTCTCTCTCTCTCTCTCTCTTTCTCTCTCTCTCTTTTTATTGCGGAGCACACACGTACAAAATATATTTCGGCGACAAATATTACGCAGAGTGAGTTCTCGAGTGCATTAAGTCGAACTGTTTTAGTAAAGCTATCGGGTTGTATTTAAATAGATAATTACTGGCTCGGCGATTAGTGGCAACGCTAATTGCTGCCTCGTATTTATATAATATCCGCTAAATATTTAGTCGATATACTTTATCGGAAAATTTTATATATAGTATAATATGAGAAGAGAGGTAGGAGAAGGGTAGGGAATTATTTAAAATTATTTAAAATTATAACGAAATATCGTTAATCATTCAATAGCAATACCGCTTTATGTATCGCCGACAGAAATTACTATTCAGCTCCCGCGCATCGCGCGGGAATCGGTATACAAATCCATAATCGGCGGTTCACCCGTCACACAAATACGGCGTAACTCGATTCTTTTGATTAACCGGAAAGCGAGATTTATTGAGGATTCTCGCGGGTCGAAAACGACGAAATTGTCACTTCGACG